GGCCCATGTCCCCCCCCCCCCGGGTTAGCCTAATACCCCCCCCGGATTAGCCCAATGACCCCCCCCCGGATTAGCCCAATGACCCCCCCCCCCGGATTAAAAACAAGGAACCCCCCGGGAAATTAGCCAATGCCCACCCAGTCTGGTCACCGCCACTCCAGGATGGAGCACGGCACCATACCCAGCAGCACAAGGTAGTCGGGTTTCCAACTCAAACCCACTCATGTATTTATCTAACCTTTTTTTAAAACTACACAACGTTTTAGCCTGAATAACTGTACTCGGGAGTTTGTTCCACTCATCCAAGACATTAACCAAAACCCAAAGTGCTTTCCTATATCCTTCCTGAATCTGAAGTTTTCCAACTTAAAACCATTGCTGCGAGTCCTGTCTTGGCTGGAAATTTTCAGCACGCTATTTACATCTCCTTTATTTATTCCTGTTTTCCATTTATACACCTCGATTCATATCCCCCCTAAACTCTACACCTTCTAGAGAGTGCAGATTTTGGGGCCTTCAGTCTATCCTCATATGGAAGATTTCTGATACATGGGATCATCTTTGTCATCCTCTGTACGTTTTCCAGAGCATTTATATCCATTCTGTAATACGGGACGAGAACTGAGCAGCATAGTCTAAATGAGGCCAAACCCAAAGAAAATATATGAGGGGAAAACAACCTGAGGACTTCTATTTTTTTATACTTCTAGATATGAAGCCAAGAATTCTGTTGTTTTATTGCGAACACTAATGCACTGTTGTCTTGGGTTTTTAGATTACTACTTGTGGAAAATACTGTATTTTATTTTCCGGAAATACGGTAATTATAGGTAAATAGGATGCCCCTATATTGTATTTTTAAAAGAAGTATATTATGAAAATGGGAAACTGGACCGGGCGCCTGCACAGACGGGAAAACAGTCGCCATTTTGGTTTTTAAAATTGGATACAACGTTAGTGTAATGGGAAGGAATTTTCGTGCTCTAGAAGTTAAAATTGGGCTGACACCTCTCAAATAGGAGGCAAAATTGTTGGATTGTGCATTCCTGGATAATTTGAGATATCAGGCGACGGGACAGGACAACTCCAGGAACCTCAGATAAGCTGTCTGATTTATGTTTAATTTTGGCCAGTAAAATTTTCAAAAATGTAGGAAAAAGGGGGGTCCTGTACATGACACATTAACCCTCCAGTCAAATTGGTGAGTGTTATGATTAAGATATTCTCTTCTTTTATGTATATGTGTTCTATAATCATTTATTTTTTTTAATATCCCGTCCACAAATTTATATATTTACCAGCTTTCCCTGGGGGTATGTATATTTCATTTAATTAACAGGTCCAGACAACTTGTGGATATAAAGTGGTAGTATCGAAGGGGGACATTTTTTGCGACCTAGGTCCCAAATTCCTACTTGTCTAACTGATAAATAATAATTTCTTATGTTCATTTATTGTTATGTAAATAATGATACATTCAGATAAATGCCAATTTTCCACATTTAATTGCCCTTTGGTCCTTCTTGAACCGGAGGTAATTAGTGAAGTCATTAATTAGTTAATTACTTAATAATTATATGGGGAAATGACAGAAGGAGGTGGATTTTTAAATTCACAAATTACTTAATTGGTAGTGGATTATAATTATTACAATATTTATTTGAATAAGTAAAGGGTGTGGCTAAAGATTATATTAATGTGTATAAGTGTATGTGTAATTGATAACCAAGTGTAGCTAATTATATTAAGTGTATAATATTAATTTTGCAAACCCAAAGTGGCTAGGATTTATATTAATGTGTTTGTAAAATATTAATTTGATAAGACAATTCTGGCCAAGATTTATATCAGTGTTTTTTGTAATTGATAAGACAAGTGTGGCTAAAGTTTATAATGTGTATAATATTAATTTTGCTATGCCAATTCTGACAAGGATTTATATTAATTGTATAATAATTTTGTTTAAGCCAAGGCTGGCTAAAGGTTTTGGGTACTCATGTACATTTAAAAATTTTTTATTACAATCTTTTATATGTAATTGCTAAGCTCAAGTAGCTAGGTTTATTAAAAGGTAAGTAGTTCAGTGTTGTAAGTTGTATCAGTGTTATTGATTGGGTTGAATTTTAAAATAATTGCTCATGGCTGAAATTGAGGAAATTAATGTAGAAGACAAACTATGGAATTTAGAGCAAAGACAGTGTCATTGCAAGCTAGAAAGGGTCATGTAACCAAGGCATATAAAAAAATGTTTGGAATTAATGAATCAAAAACTGTGAATACTGATGATTTAAAATTGTTTTTTAGATGCTTTAGGTAATAGATATGATTCATACAAATTATATTACAATAAATATGAAGGAGATTTGTAGTAAACTCTGTAGATGAGACTGAAGTAGATCTCATGATTAATCAGTATTATGAATTAGAGGAAAAGATTCTTTCTTGTAAAAGTCAGGCCTTGAATAAATTAAAATGTGTAAACCAGGCAGTTAATCAGTCTGCTTCAACAAATAATATATCTTTGCCAAAACTCCCAGAATTATGTTTTTCCTGTGTTAATCCTGGTGAAAATTGGGAGGGAAATTTTGGTCAATTTTTAAAGCAGCTGTGCATGACAGGAGTGACCTAGCCTGTGTAACTAAAAATTATTTTATCTCAAAGGACAGGTAAGAGGAGATGCTCACATACTCATACAAGCCTTTCCCAATGTAGATGACTCTTTCAAGGAAGCAGTTGACTTGTTGAAAGTCACTTATGGTTTAAAATAGAACAAAGAAGGTTGGATCTAGTGAATATCATTGTTAATTTAAAATCTCCAGATTACACTTAAAAGGTTTACAGCAGTTTAAGTTAAAAATGGAGAGCACTCTCAAAACTTTAAGTAATAAATATAATCTGAAAGAATCAGACTGGTTTATTGAGTGTCTGGTCAGATTTAATTAAGCGTAAAACACTTGAATTAATTTTTGAATAATATCACAAGGTTATTTTGTCTGGTAAATAAGGCTAGTTCTACAAATTAAATTTTTCAGTTGCGACGCCAGCTAAATCATTTTTATGATGCAACACATATAACTTTGAAGTATCTGTCATTTCACAAAGGGAAAAATTATCCCATGTTATTTAAACAAAATTTATTTCTAAAAAGAGTTGATAGGTGCATTCAAGTAGCAGGATGAATAATGATTTTCCGACAAGGTAGAAGAATAATACCCTCCTAAGATAGCCCAGTTAATGAAACCTTCAGAGATAAGGAAGATTGTCTTTTTCTGCAAGGGTAAATCATTTTTCTAGAATTGCAATGCAACAATTCATGGAATGATAAAGTTGAAAGATTGGGGAACTTGACAGATGTATCAGGTGTTTAGGTAATCACAATGTAAAAGGATTGTCATGCCCAAATTAAACAATTGTTATCAATGTCACAAAGGAAAAACACCATATAGTCATGTGTAAGGGTCTATATGACAATGTTGATAAGATAAGATAAGATAGATAAGATTTCGTTCGGATTTTTAACCCGGAGGGTTAGCCACCCAGGATAAAACCCCAAAAAAGTCAATGCGTCAGCGCAATTGGGGGGAATTGGGCTAATCCGGGGGGGTTCATTGTTCTAATCCGGGGGGGGGAGTCATTGGGCTAATCCGGGGGGAGTCATTGGGGGGTAATCCGGGGGGAGTCATTAGGCTAATCCGGGGGGGGGGGACATGGACCTGCTCCGCATGGGTCAGTAGGCCCTGTTGCAGTGTTCCTTCTTTTTTATGTTCTTATAAAAAAAATTCCCTTGATAATAATGTAATGTTGACAATCCTGACACAAAAGTAGCTAATTTAAAAATTGCTGCTAATGTTTAACAATGATGGTTTTTGCTGAAGTAGCCTTACCTGTGTTACAGGTAAAAATTGTGATAAAAGGATAAATCAAAAAATGTAAATGCATTATTGGACCAGGGGATCCCCGCGTACTTTTATAAGACGTTAAATGCCTTGATGGTATGAAAGTACAGATGGGAGATCCACCCAAATTTAAAATTATGGTTTTCTCTCAGATAAAAGGGCTCAATTGTATGACACTGTTTATGTAACTGTCGGGTTTGGGGAATGAGAAAAAAGTGTTTAATGCAGTAATTGTTAGATAGACTTCCAGAGAAAATATCTACAGTAGGGCTTAGTTTTAGCAGTAAAGGTCGAGAACCAAAACCTAGTCATTGTGGTAGTCTACAAGCCTCCGGATGCAACATCCCAGCAATTCCAGGAACAGCTGTTAAAAATTGACCACGCTGGAAAATCTTCCAGCTCCTGCACCCAACATCTTGCTCTGTTCCACAAGGCACAGTACTCGCTCCCATCTTGTTCCTCATCCTCATATCCGACATAGAAAAAGGATGTCAGCCACAGCACAGTGTCTTCCTTTGCAGATGACACCCGAATCTGTATGACGTGTCTTCCACTGCAAACACTGCAAGGCTCCAGGCGGACATCAACCAAATCTTTC